TTCACGAACGAACGCTGTAACCACTAGGCTACCCCACCGCCCCTATATATAAATATTAATCAGTATGTTTTTATACATCTAATTACGTGTATATTGCAACAATACGCTCCTTCTAATCCTAGCAAACCCGTCGTGCAGCGTGCTCTGTCGCACAGCGCGCTCTGACAAACGGAAATCTGGAAATCATGGAAACCTCAAAACGAGGCTCGGCCGCTAGAAAGGTTTGGCGGTCTGGTACGGACTTGATATTATATCAATCACAATGTACGTTGCTTAAATACACTTAATTAGCACAAAGAACACATAACAGGTGTAACCAGTGAGCCAAATGAATTGTGAATCATTGTACGACCAATGTAGGCCATCAAACATGACATTGGTGTCGCGGGCGAACGCATCCACCACCGAGCTACCCTAGTCCACGTATTGGTTTGTCGGTGTGTTGTTTAACGCCGCACTCAGCAATATTCCAGCTATTTGGCGGAGGCTTGTAAACAATCGAGTCTGGACCAGACAATCCAGTGATCAACAATATGAGCATTGATCTAAATTGGGTTACGATGACATGAGTCAACCAAGTCAGCGAGCCTGACCACCCGATCCCGTTAGTCGCATAGGCATCATGTACACGTGCAATTTTCGAATATAACGAACTAATTTGAAAGTCAATGACGTTCGGCATATCCGTTATTCACTGTGAAGGGGTTAGCCTCAGTATACACGCAGGTTTGAGAGTGTGTTCGAGACAACAGTGTGTCGATGTCAGGAAGAGACATCAACATTTGACCCGTGACGGTCCGGGTTGAAGATTGATCTTCAATAACCCATGCTTGTCGTAAGAGGCCACTAACGGGATCGGGTGGTCAGGCTCGCTGACTTGGTTGATACATGTCATCGGTTCCCAATTGCGTAGATCGATGCTCGTGCTGTTGATCACTGGATTGTCTGGTCAAGACTCGATTATTTACAGACCGCCGCCACATATACTAGCCACATAAAGAAACTGTGCACACAGAAAATGCCTTCATAATTGGAATACAACACAGCAAAGACGAAATGATGTAGACACTTTATAAGCTGAAGTATCGGACCACAGGAAAATGTCAAAAGAACATGAACAATATCCGTAACGATGACGTCAGAAGTTCAAAATCGAGTAGGTGGTCACATGACGAAGTCACAAAATCAATAACGGGTATGACCACCATGTGCGTGAAGCACAGCAGTGCAACGACGACGCATAGAGGCTACCAAATGAGCATTGGAGGCCTGGGGAATGGTCTGGGACGTGGTCACTGCTGTCTGGAACCTGTATCTGAGATGAGTCACCCGAATCCACCTGTCCTGTCTTGGCGTCGTTACGTCGGGAACGCCCAGAACGTGGGTGGTCGGCGATGGCATTGGAAAGTGCTGCCACCTGTTGTTGGCTCATTCCTGTTCGAACCATTCCAATGGCTTCATGACGTTGAGCAGATGTTAATCTTGGCATGATGTGCATGTGACTTTTCATGTGGATTTGTGAACGTTTAAATGACCAAAGATCACGCTTTCGACAGTGACAGCAATTTCAGAGTTTCACATGTTGTGTGCAGCTGTACGGGCTGCACGTGCAGTAACACATTGCAAGGTCATACGCGACCGTCAATGACGTCACGTCGCCTGGCACGTGCATGAGCGTTTGAATGTCTCCAATACTTGCTATGTTCACAAATGTATTTATGTATAAATACGCTGTGTGCCTATATTTATATTTCTGTGTGCACAGTTTCTTTATGTGGCCAGTATAGCTGGAATATTGTTGAGTGTGGCGTAAAACTAAACTCACTCACTCACTCATCATCATTTGATATGTAGATAAAGCATGAATCTCGACACGGTATGAAAATAATTCACTGTAGGAGGCAAAGACCAAAACATCAGATTGAGTGAGTTAGTGAGTGAGGTTTTTTTTACCCGCTTTTAGCAATATTCCAGCAATATCACGGGCTTCAATGGGCTTCACACATTGTCGAAGTTGACACCTTCGAGATAAACGATAGATCGGTATACAAGTTTATATCCAATTCCCGGAACAAAACAGCCTCTGTTACCTCAGAAACATAAGTTTCGATAAAGATATGCTACCGCTTGCTTTACACTACCATTTGGAATCATACCACACTTCATGGTCTAGATGACAGAGCGTTTGCACGGAGAGCGGACGGTCTGCGGTTCGATCCCTCAAGCAAAAGACTCTAAAAGATTGTACTTGTTGCCCACACGGGCTTGGCTAGGTATGTATGTTGTTTTACGCCGCGCACAGCAACATTCCATCTATATGCCGACGGATGGTAAATGATCGAATCTTCACCACACAATCCAGTGATCAACAGCATGAGCATCGATCTACATTGGAACACGATGACATGTGTCAACCAAGTCAACGAGCCTGACCACCCGATCCCGTTGGTCTCCTCTTACGACAAGCATGGGTTACTGAAGGCCGATTCTAACCCGGGTCTTCACGGGTACACCAGGCGCTCAGTAATGATGGTATAAATCAAGGACAGGGGTCGGGGTCTCAGTAGGGAACCCATCTTAAATGTGGCATGATATCGAAAACGTCAGTATTAGTCTGGAGTACTACGAGCAGGATGCGGTGGGGTAGCCTAGTGGTTAAAGCGTTCGCTCGTCACGACCTATTATCGATTCCCCACCTGGGTACAATGTGTGAAGCCCATTTCTGGTGTCCCCCGCTGTGATATTGCTGGAAGGTTGCTAAAAGCAGCGTAAAACTAAACTCACTCACTACAAGCAGCATTCGTGACCAACTCGTGTTATTCCGGGACAAGCCGGAAGGTTTTCATACTGGCGCATGAACATCAGAACTACTTTAAACAAGAACGATAACTCTATTCCTGTTTGATTCCACTGGTACTTAATATCACCGAAGCACTCGTACATTGTATTGCTGTTTTGGTTTTTACTTATTCATTTTAAGCAATTAAACGTCTTTGATACAACTAAAAGAAGGTGAAAAGACATATTTGTTCAACATTCAAACGTAATTATTACCAGCTGTTTCCAATTATATTTCTGAATAGGGTTTAATAGTCACAAATGGGATTTGTTTAACTGAATGTGCAAATAAGAGTTTTAAAACTCAGCTAAATGAAGTCCCAAAGCAGATACTCAGAAATGACTTTAAAATATTTCTCACACTGAGCATTCGTGTAACCTTGCTGTCACACCCCAAGTGGAATTTTAAATGAATTCGCTGAAAATATATGAATGACAAAAAAAGTCAGACTAAAATATTCCCAGAGATGTGAAATATATGCCTAATGTTAAAGATTAAAGTTGATTAGTTACATACAGATATAACATAATTGTTTTGAAACTCGTAGCGATTTATGATTACGTTTCCTAAAACTGTTGGAAGCGCACGTACAATCACCAGAACAAGCCCGCAAGATCGTCAGAAATACACTCAATTGGACCCATGAGAGCCGTTATGTAAACAAACGCACGTGCGTGGATTTGAATCTCTCACCTTCCATGGCAATATCTTTACTAAAACTACACATGAGCCAAAACAATAATGTTACCTACATTCCTTGTACTTTCAATATGATGATACATACTTTTCAAGATTTTTTAAACAATGACATAATGCCATAAACGATTTAAGTATTCGGGATTATATTTATCAAAGCACCGCCTTTATTACGTGCGTTCTGATTGGTTTGTCGTATTTTCGCACATAACAAGCATCGAGACGGGGACGGGTCTTCTTGGAGTTTACGGAAAGGGGCGAGTGGTGCGAATGTACAAGCAGCTGAGGCGTGTTCAGAATCGCGAGTGCCCGCGAACGCAAGCGAGCGCTCGATCCTGAACGCCTGTGTCCGTTCGAGCGTCCGCGCGCGCACGCGAACCATTCTCACAGCTGCCTCGCCAAGCGAACCAAGATGGCGATCATGTTTAAGGTCATTCGTCACCACTCGCTCCTTTCCGTAACCTCCAAAAGAGTGAGTGAGTGAGTGAGTTAAGATTTAAAGTCACATCGGCAATATTTCAGCCATATCGTGACTAAAACTAGTTCTAAATTTATAATACATACATATAATATATAAAACCCTGTCAACGAAGGACAGTAAAACCACTAGATTATCACAGATTGAGTTAAAACTAGCTAGCATATATCTTTAAAAGTAGAAAATTATTTCCGGACAGTACAATGTAAAATTGGGCTATAGATCGCCAACAACTGAAGGTAGATCACCATACTAGGGACCATGGGTACTTACAGTGTTTTGCTACCTGCATGGAACCTCCAAAAAGAAGGCATGGAGGATATTTTGTTAATGTTGTCAAATAACATGTATATTTCATCGAGTGGTCTGACAAAGTTGATATGTTCACGAGTGGCGTAACCATTGACAACATTAACAAAATATTCCTTTATTATATTTTGATCATTGTTTATAAATGATCGAGACATCGATTTCGTAGTTCGCGTTTCGTAGTTCCAGGCAAAAGTGATATTCTACTCAGTGAAAATGAAAATACCATTTTCTTTTCACCAATATTTACAGTATTTCACCCTTAAGAATATAATAAAAGAAGCTATTCGGCTTGTCCCGGAACAACACGAGTTGGTCACGAATGGTTTATTGTAACCAAGCGCTCGCGTCCGTTCAGGGCCGATGCGAGCGCTCGCGGGAGGCAATCGCGCGGGCGCTCGCGGTTCTGAACACGCCTCAGGGTCGTACACTCTCACGCACTCGGGTTATTCCGGGACAAGCGGGAGGTTACGGAAAAGGCGAGTGGTGACAAACAACACACACATGTCATCCATTCGTCACCACTCGCCCTTTCCGTAACCTCGCTATTCGGCTTGTCCCGAAATAACACGAGTTGGTCACGAATGACATGTCATCGTTAAAGTGAAATAACCTTGATCGAGACGTTGAATCTCATTTCGGCTTCCCTAACCCTCTAGATTCCCTCCATGTACTTACCGCGCCATTTCCTGCCGCGAAGCCAGCCATTGTATCAATACAGCCGGTCTCAACGGAACAGACACACTGGTTGAAAATGTCCTCGATCTTACAGGCGATAGTAGCCTGTCTCACAGTCCCTGAACCACATTATTTTCCCTTCTGCCAAGTCCTTTCTGCAGTGCTAATTATAAAGCCCTAATTGAAGCAAGTCTAGATTTCCTCAGGTTCTGAATCTCTGGTCTCCCTGGGGTTCCTTTTCAATTTAAATGGGCTTGTTTGTTACTATCAAAATTATATATATTCAGAGACTAAGCATTAGTCTAAGGCGGTACGAATGTGCCTATGTTTAGATACGCCTCGACAAACTAGACTTTGCAAAGGCCACGAAAGCTCATCGCTGTGACGCATTATTTGCATTGTACACCTGTACAAGGTTTTTCGTTACGGTCCATTAACATGTTTAAAAAATAAATTCAACATTATGCACTAAACAATGAGAGGGACATTAGTGTAGGTGGTGTGATGGGTCTTGAAAGTACATTTCGAACCTTCTGAAGAGCTAACTGAAAGATATTGTCTCAAAACAAAAACCCACGGGTTTCCACAGCCGAGCTCATTGAATGATCTGGGACGGCATGATAGTTCACTGGGTGAAGCATAGACTAACTCTAGTCTCTGAATATATATAATCTTGATAGATAAAAACAACACCTTAATTTTAAATTGAAAAGGAGTCCGGGTGCGGAGGCAGATTCAGAAACAGAGGAAATCTAGACTTGCTTCATTTAGGGGTTTAGCATTGCAGAAAGGGCCTGGCAGAAGTGAAAATAACGCAGTTCGGGGGCTGTGAGACAGACTAGGTGTAGCATTTCAGGGAGTGGACACTTCATTTACTGAAGAGTGAGTGAGTTAGTTTAGTTTTACGCAGCTTTTAGCAATGTTCCAGCAATATCACTGTGAGGGACGCCAGAAATGGGCTGCATTGTACCCATATGGGATAGGCTAGTGGTTAAAACGTTCGCTCGTCACACCGAAGCCCCGGTTTCGATTTGCCACATGGGTACAATGCAGCCAATTTCTGGTGTCCCCCGCCGTGATATTGCTGGAATACTGCTAAAAGCGGCGGAAAGCTAAACTCACTCACTCTCTTCGAAGGCCCGGGTTAGATTCCCCACATGGGTACAATATGGGACACCAGAAATGGGCTTCACCTTGTACCCATGTTGGAAATCAAACCCGGGCCTTTGTGGCGTGACGAGCGAACGCTTTAACCACAAGGCTACCCCACCGCCCCTTGCTCGTATTGATGGAGCTGACGTTATGAAAACACAATGCCATTTAGATAGTGGTCAAATGTAACATATGTCATATTTGGGATTGCACTTTCGTAGTAAAGTACAGATTCTAGATCTAGTACCTTTGTTGGGTTGAACCCGGGAATCCGGGATTCGAACCTACACCCTCAGAGCCAGGCACCTTATCGCCAGCACATAAAGTTAGCCATCTCACCCACTCGGCCAGCGCGGCTTCCACAAACTGGAAGTCGGTCAACTGGTAGTCTATACCAATAGACTATGTGTACCCCTCTGACGAGCGTAGATTGGCACGGCTCCCACGGGCGAAAGCTATGACTACACAATGCGAATTACAAATGTCATTTACTGAGACAGTGTAATACCAAATATAATATGTTTTACATTTGACCACATTCCAATCCCGGATGGAATTCTATCCAACAATAGTACTAGAACCTGTACTTTACTGAGAAAGTGTAATCTCATATATAACACGTGTGACATTTCATTTTGACAACTTCCTACGGAATCCCCTATTGAGACTTAATTCAACAAAAGTATTAGAACCTGTACTTACTGAGTAAGTGCAATCCCAAATATAACACGTGTGATATTTCATTTTGACCACTTCCTACGGAGTCCCCTATTGAGACTCAATTCAACAATAGTACTACAATCTGTACTTTACTGAGTAAGTGCAATCCCAAATATAACACGTGTGATATTTCATTTTGACCACTTCCTACGGAGTCCCCTATTGAGACTCAATCCAACAATAGTACTAGAATCTGTACTTTACTGAGTAAGTGTAATCCCAAATATAACACGTGTGATTTTTCATTTTGACCACTTCCTACGGAGTCCCCTATTGAGACTCAATTCAACAATAGTATTAGAACCTGTACTTACTGAGTAAGTGTAATCCCAAATATAACATATGTTACATGAAACTGACGTTGTCGGCGAGGACGTTACTATACCGACCGCCGCCATATATCTGGAATATCATTGCGGAGTGCGGCGTTACACAGTAGACAAATTAATCAATAATAACAAAGAAATGTTAATTAATATGCAGCACTTCCAAACAGTCTATTCAATAGAATTACAAATATTGAAATGTTGGTACACATCTACTTTCAACACCTGCTGCAATATTTCATCAAAAGCAAAACCATATATAATATAGTGGATATGATATTGCGGTTTGCCATATGGGAGGAAGTTTTGCTGTAAATGTACATGTAATCTACATTGACTCCTACAATATGTAGTCATAATTCCACAGAACAAGAAAAGCTTGCATTATATCCCAAAACCTTCCGTCATCGTACCTTTTGATCTTATTTGTATACACTTTTTACACATTTTGAAAACGATGACTATTTATGATTTATTGAAAAATAATGTTAGTAACAATCTTGTCCGTTAATTATTGTTTTTGTAATAGGAGACTAGAGTTACTGCCTTTGTGTTTCACAACTGGTAAAACGAATATGGCGTACTTCTGTTCTGTCTTGTGTTCGTGTTTATCAACATGAGGATTAGACCGACAACAAACTACAGTCCGTTTGACTTCATTTGAGACCGATGAATTGTTCACTAACACAAACCCTAATAAATGCAACAAGATCAAACTTTGCACTGTCACATGAAATCGACAGACCAACTCTGATGATTTGTCTCATAATTTTGGACACCCGAATAAAAAAGTTGTTTAACAAACGATCAGTATTTTGTTGTCACTTTTCGCTATTTCTTAGGAGGGGGACCACTTGCTGGTAGAACAGCCAAGTAATGAACAACGTGAGCTGTGAAATTTCAATCTCACACGTACACCTCGCACACCTGACTGTTCTACCAGCAAGTGGTCAAACGGACTGTATGCGTGTTTTCTACACCACCCATCAAAGGTTTAGACTCACTTAAAGCACTCACACTATATATATGGTTACATCGAAGATTAATTTCTCCACTAACTCGAGGGAACCAACTGCAAACCGTATGCAGATGAATTGCACGAGGATCATGCATCAAATTGCTGAAAAGCATGTGCAAATATCGTGCATGTGAATAGCTGCGTTTAAATGTAAAGTTTTGTAAGAATTCGCCAATTTTCACTGAGTTTCATAATTTATTGAACTCATTACAATAATCTTTTCAACGTTACAAATGTGTTTTACAATACACGTGTTTTACAATACATTAGTTCATGTGTAAACAGTACCTTTAAACAGTAGGGTATATTTTGCAAAATCTAGTTTAGAACAGTTGACTGAAGTACGTGGCTACATTTACACTAGTGAGTCTAAACTTTTGATGGGTAGTATACATTTCAGCCTATGGAATCATTTGGGAGGCCGGAAGGTCGCGGGTTCGATCCCCGACCGCGTCATACCAAAAGACGTTAAAATATGGTACTTGTTGGTCCCTGCCTGGCGCTCGGCATTTATGGGTACAACAAGGACTGGTCGGCTCGGAGTCAGTATAATGTGTCTGAGTGGGGTATTCATGCTTCACTGCGGAATGGTATCTCAGTGGGCTAGCACTATAAAACCAGCTTCAGTCTGGGCTAGTACAAGCAGCCGCACATACACATTCACACGCATGCACGTCGTCATATGAGCGAAATATTCTCAAGCACGACGTTAAACCCTATTTCACCTCACCTCACCATTTGGGAGGCCAGGGTTGTTCTACACGGCACCCAACCGTTGAAGGACAGGGTATATAATGGTTAACAAGTCCGCCCGTGCGTACCTCAATCCTTTGTTGGTTTTGTTGGTTTTCACCTTAACCTTTCTTTTTACCTACACATACGAGTGAAGAAAACTTTCTTTATGAGAGACGTCTGTGGGGGATGCTCTGTTTCACCTCACCACAATGAACCTAATTCATAGAAAAGTAGGTTACAACGACGTCGGTTCGCGTGACCGTGGATAAACATGTAAGGTGAACATGGCATTTTGAAAACTCCTGCTGAACATGGCGTCGGTATATGCTCACAACCACAGGGGTGTGTCACGCTTAGAAACAGCGTTAGAAAGACATATAGGTATATAGACCCAGCCCTATTACTATATAAAACAACGATAAACAACGTACAAGTAGTCTGTTCAAAACACTTAAGTTAGAAATAGCTTTCTGCTTTCAGCATGTCTCGACGGCTTTGTACACACTGTCGAGATCATCGTGATGTACACGTTCACGCACGCACACACTCACTTGCTCATAGTGTCAATCACTGGCTTGTCTGGTCCAGTCCGATTATTTACAGACCACCGCGTTAAGAGCTGTAACACTGAGGCGTTAAACAACAAACCAAACACTCACCCCACCCACGGTCTGTAGAGTCGGAACGCTTGTGAATACTTTCGCACCAGAAATCCTTGTCTGTCAAATACGAACACTGGGGCTGAAAATAACCTAGTCAATATAAATCAAATACAAAACCCGACCAACCATTGCTAAATCACAATATGTCGTGAAATAGCCCTAATGGTGCCGTATGCAGTATAGCTGCACTTGCCAATACAGGCGGCAGCTGTGCCCTGAAACGTACAGTTATATAGCCTTGCCCCAAGGCGTACAGGACTTTATTTAAACTCCGGTCGTTCTGCGGCTTTAGAGGCTCATGCTTACATCATTATTATGTACAGCTTATTTGTGTTAAATACATGTATGATACACCAAATGGTAATATAATTATGCTTATCGCTTGGTTGCAAGAATACATTAAGTCTGTACATGCATGTAACCAGTTAAATGAACAATGTTACACTCATGCGTTATTATTTTTCCTATTCGGGCGATGCTGAAAATGAGACATTATTATTGTGCAAAATATTGCTGTTTTCATAATTTTTCCTAGTTTGTTAGAGTGACACAGAT